GTGTGCCTTGGCAGTCTAAAATCATTTGTGTAATAATGGTCCTGAAATATCAAAGAGAAGTAGACAGAATGAAATATGAGAATATGCATATGAAGTGGAATAGAGGACCTTCAAATTCAGGCAAAGCCCACCAGACAACCCACATCTTAACAACTCAACCCTAAGGATAAATACAGGCACAGCAGGAAGAAGTCCATTATTGAGAACAGCAAGTTCTCCCGCTTTTCTGATTGTTAATAGCATGCCTGGATATTGGGACCAAGCCCCAGTTCATGGGCCGGCAGCTCTATCAACTGAGCTATATGGTGGCACTGTCTTATAGTCTTTGATGGATTTAGTTGTCTTCCACACAGTATCAGACATCTCCTATCTTGCGTTCTTGCTTTTAAAAAAGCAAAATAATGTAAGATTCCCCCCTAAATGTTGAAGATATCTTCTGTCTGACCATATGAAAAACTTGAAAGGCCTGCGCCCTGTTGCTAACGTAGGATTGGACATTGGTCGCTAGAGAGGGGCTTGGCGTAGGGTCAATAGTTCACAAGTCGGTTTGGTTTGGAACACAATTATTAATACACTTGTACTTTCTACAGACTGCAGATCCTGAGAGACTACTTTACATACGCGCTATATGTCAATGTGTGTCGCTCTCTGTTTGAGAAGGACAAGCTGCTCTTCTCTTTCTGCCTCAGTGTCAATCTGCTCATGCATAGAAAGGAGGTATGGAATACACAAACTGCACACATTTACAAATTAACAACACTTAAAAGACATAGACATTTAAGACATTAACACTTTCAATAGTGTAGTTTGATTTGTGGTTAGCTTATCAAACTAGCCGTTATATATTTCAAGATAAATCCTCCATGATTCATTTGGATGATCTGTTTCATAGTATTTTTATCCAAGATAATACCCAAAATGTTGAATCTTTAAACCGTTTGAATCACAAATGCTGGTTAATCCTCTAACAGAAGCATGACTGTAATGAATGTGTTAGGTGGATGAGGGGGAGTGGCGCTTCCTCCTCACAGGTGGTGTGGGTCTTGACAACCCCTACTCCAATCCCTGCACCTGGCTCCCTAAAAAGTCCTGGGACGAGCTTTGCCGCCTGGATGAGATGGAGTGCTTCAAAGGTCTGCGTAAAGACATGGCTCGCCTCAGGGGCGAGTGGAAGACGGTGTACGACAGCTCAGTGAGTGACATGAAACACACAGGCTACTCTAGGGATCTATCTCTGGGTGTCCTTTAATGTTTCTGTGATGTTAATAAGAACTGGGAAAAGTTTGTGTTTCTGTCCTACCTCTCTCTAAAATGTATTGTTTGATTGAATGCCTGATGGCAGAAAAATGGGGATCACGTTTTTAAATAGGCCTGTACAAAAAATACATTTTATAATCTATATTACCCAATAGAACACAGAGGAGAGAAAAGTATGCACATTCTCTCAAAATGAAAATGTTGGGCTACTATGGCTGCGAGGGAGTGCAGCTGTCTTTCAATCGTAAGGTTGTGAGTTTAATCCCAGCCCCTGCAGTCAACATATCGATGTGTCCTTGGGCAAGATACTTAACCCCTGTGGCACGCTCTCTATGAATGAGGTGTGAATGGGTGAATGACTTGTAGTATGTAAAGCGTTTTGACGGGTTGTAAAGACTGGATGAAGCACTATGTAAGTACAGTTAATTTACCATTTGTATCAATGCACATTAATATGGCTGCTAGAGTCTTGTTGTAAAATCTCTAAATGTGCTAAATGTCAGCTTAAAATGAGTTTGGGATGAGATGTTTGGAAAGTGTAGCAGTTTAAACTGTCTCACATTCAAATGGACTATATTTACATCGCCCTTTATCCAGTCTTTTACGACCCCTCATAGCGCTTTGCGTTCGTCAAGTCATCCTTCATACAGAGCAATGGGCCATTTGCTCAAGTAAGCAACATTCACTTACATTCACATTGGCCTTGCAATTGGATCGTCACAGTCGGCATTGACGAAAATGTTAGAACTACCATAACATGTGGATTCTGGAGGTGCCTCTGCATTAACATATTTAGAGCAAATGTTAAAGATATTTAAGGTTTTTACCTTTGATTTAGGCAACACACACCTTGTGTGGATACTAAGGCCTGAAACACACACAATATTAGACACAACTTCAGTTAGCAGCAGCTTCAGTGCCTTATGTGTTGCGTTCTGCTTTGGTTTACTAAGCTTGAAGTTTGAATGACTATTTTTGCACCAAATGTTGTGCCTTATCAGATTACTGTGAACAAAGTAAGTTTAAATATAGACAGTTCACGTAGTTTATTTAATTTTGCTCACATTTTTAAATATCTGTTTAATTTTGTTGTGTTTTTTTAAGGTAACTTTAACGTTGTTTTTATTTTTAAATACAGAATGTACATACAATTATAAAGTTATAGTATGAAGAATGTTTTATCTATATATTTTACTTTAGAATAAGTAGTAATAACAAAGTGCGTACATCTTTGTATACAAAATATTGTTAAAGTAAAAGAACCAGCATCAACATATCTTTAAGCACCAAAATAAAAAGTAATCATCTGGCAGAATGGTCCATAATATACACCACTGGATTATATTCTGAATTCTTCATGTGATTTTGTGTGAAGTTATATCAATGACACACATTTCATAATTTGATACTGCATATCCTCAAGGAGTTCTTCCTACTTTTTGTGCCTCATTTTTTCATAGCTCTCAGACAGGTCTTACATTGATTTAGTTTGCTTCAGAATGATTAGAACTGTTAGTTATAATCTCTGTAATAGATGCTTAAATCGTATTTCACATTCTATTCTTTCATCTTCAACTATTTGCTAATTTAGTGATACAAATGTTGCCATGCTTTAACTCCTTATTTCCTTTTACGTCAATAACTGAGTTTCATTAGTTTATTTTGGGAAAGGAAAGGAAGAAAGTGGGAGGAAATTAATTTGTCTGTCAGGTGTGGATGATGTAAACCCGACCCTCTCTCCATCTTTGAATCATAAAGGATCAAAAATTGAAGTTTTATCTAATTAAATATGTTCTGCTCCTGTTGTGCCAGTCACATCTACGCAATCACGACTCAACAACAGCTGTTTAATCAATGTGCGGCACTCAAACATGTGTGCCTGTCTTTTTGCTGTCACAAACACAAAGACACATTCACATGCACACCATCTTTGATTTATAATCAACAGAATCAGCCACAACCCTTCTATCCAATTAAATCTAGTTTGTTCCAGTTGTAGAATTCACATATATTCAATCATGATGCAACAACAGCTGTTCAATCAAGCACACAGCCACTCACACACACTTACACACCCCTGTACACACGGAGAATCCCCAGGAGACTCTAAATAGGTGTATCCGTCTCCAAGCACCTGCCAACACACATAGCCAGAAGTCTCTCGACAAAATACCTGGGGAGAATAATTCCCCCAAAGTTCCAGCTGCCATTGCTCACTTCCTCTCGTAAACTTGTTCCACAAATTAATCAAACATATTGCTCTGACCCAGTACCCAGTGGTGTTTCTGTTTCCCCACCTCCTTCTCCTTCTACAGTCTATACTTTTTCATACATACAGTATGTATTTATCTCCCCTCATTACTTTCCTACCCATTCACATTACTGATTGCTTAACATTGCTTAATCTTGCAACAGCTCGAAACAATACAGCCCCACCCCAGAACCTCACTTGGCCAAACGGCATTATGCTGCATGTTTCTTTTTAAAGAAACATTGTTAGGGGCAAGCATCCTCTCCTTATGAATGACAAAGGGGCCCTATCGTGCTCATTTGCAAGTTCATATTTGTGTATTTTGTCACATGTTTACATGCTCAAGTATTCAAAAAGCTCTTTATTTTTCTCATACTGCCTGTGCTGCAGCACCTCTTTTCACCCTCTGTCTGAAACCAGAGCCCAGTCTGCTCTGATTGGTTAGCTAGCCAGCTCTTTTGTGATTGGTCAACCGTTTAGAGATGTCCCGCTCTTTAGCATATCACGTCCAGTGTGTAAGCGCTAGCCAATATAAGCACGAGTGTTACATAGTGATGTCATTATGTTAAGGAAGTAAACAAAGAAGTCCAATGGAGGTGTTTCAGGGAGTGTGCAGGAGAGAAACTCCCTCTGGAGGGAACGTTGGGATTTTAGCCTTTGCAGACCATTTACATGCACAGTACACTACAGGAAGGGAATACCACCTTAAGTATAATAGAGCCCCTGATGATGACGAGATGCAATTTAGTCGTCTTTGTGATATTTCTTTCCTTTACCTGTATTGGATCAGATTAAAGCCAGTTCCTTAGGGCAATCCTTAAGATTTCACACCTTGTTACTTTTGTAAACAACCTATTGATTTAGAATACTACAGTCCCAGAATACCGGTACGATCTTAACCGACTATAGTAGTTCAAAAAAGAAGACAGGCAATAATTGGCCTTTTTCCATCATTCTGTTAGCAACCCTTATCTGATTGTATTCTGCATAGGGTCTGCGAACAGTGAAAGTGAAAGTGAAAGTAGTTGGTTACCTGGCTGAGAAGTTGGAGGTGATCAGCCTGTTACCTGCAGCTCTTCATGCTACAGCTCATTGTGGCTGCTCCTGACTCTTCTTACATTACTCCCTACAATATTTCAACCTGATCCGCTGTCAGAGAAGCCCAAAATAACTGTGGTCTTGTAACAATGGCGGCCCTTGTCAGGATCAATGACACGCTTTGCACTTCCTAATAAAAGTCAAACGTTGTGGTGCCAATGCTTTAAATGCGATGCTGCAGCAGTAGGAGATGTTCGGTTTGCAAAAGCAGTAAATGAATACATTTTTTGTTAATGTCGCCACAAGGCAAGGAAAAGTAAATAGGATCCATCACTATTGTTTAACCTAATTCGGCAATAGAAAATTAATGAACAGACACTTATTTAAATAAAAGTAAAGTGTTGCGAATGGAATAGTTTTAGGCAGCCTAATTAGTGCAAAATCTTCTCTCCAAGGTGGAATATAAAGGAACTCCTTGATATATTTGTGCAGTCTGATTCAATAATGTTTTGTGTTGTGCATATCTGCAGAGCCCCCATCAGACTCCCTTCCCTGAAGAGTGGCAGGAGAAGCTGAGCCAGTTCCAGAGGATGCTGGTAATCCGTTGTCTCAGGCCAGACAAGGTGAGCTGCTTTCCAAAAGATGGTCTGATATTATGAATACATTGAGTCATAGCTCAATTTCTTCAAACAACAGTATAATCTTGAAAATGTTCCAATTGTCCTGGAAATATATTTAGTAAACAGTCCATTGTTCCATTGTCCCCCAGGTTGTTCCCATGGTGCAGGAATTTGTTTCCGACAGTTTGGGTCGGCCGTTCATCGAAGCGCCGCCCTTTAACCTGTCCAAAGCCTTCGTTGATAGCCACTGCTGCGCCTGCCTCATCTTCATCCTCTCTCCTGGCTCAGACCCTATGGCTGCGTTGCTAAAGTTCGGAGATGAAAAGGTACGAGGAGACACCTGGGAAATCCTGCAGCTTTGAAGCCTGCTGTGTGCACAAACTCAAAATGAAATGGGGAAATTGAATCCTCTGGATTTCCCAGGCTCCCGCACAGGTCTTAAAAGCACTACAAAATGATTTTGGCTCTTTCCCGGTCAGAAAGCAACTACATGACTGTGTGTGTACGGCTGTTCTTTACCCTCAGGGCTTTTCAGGGAACAAGCTGAGTTCCCTCTCTCTGGGCCAAGGCCAGGGTCCTATTGCCATGCGCATGATCGAGGCAGCCATTAAAGAGGGCACCTGGGTGGTTCTTCAGAACTGCCACTTGGCCACTTCATGGATGTCAACGCTGGAGAGAGTTTGTGAGGTCAGAACACACCTACACACGTTCTATACCCCAGAGTATTACAGTACAAATACATCTTTATATGTGCTATATGCCGTTAATAACTGTGCAATATATACCTGGCTGCTAATTCCTAAGAACTGTTACAGGATGTGTATTTTGTAAATGGTGTAACTTTTTTAAATTTTTGTTATCATATTTTTTAATATATCATAATGCATTTTTAATGCATGTAACATATGTAACATATGTAACATCAAGCTGCCTGCGGCTCTTTTTTTGCTGTAACAACGTAAATGTCCCCTCTGTGGGGCTAATTCTAAGGTATTCTAATTCTAATTCTGATCTGTCAATAAATGATTTATTTTTACTTTTTGCTGCGAGCAGGAGCTAATCCCAGACACCACCCACCCAGACTTCAGGCTCTGGCTGACGAGCTACCCGTCTCCCACCTTCCCCGTGGCCGTGCTCCAGAATGGGGTGAAGATGACCAATGAGGCTCCGAAGGGCCTCCGCGCCAACATTGCACGCTCCTTTTTAATGGACCCCATCTCTGACCCGGAATTCTTTGGCAGCAGCAGCAAGCCGGTCAGTGTGTGGGTGCATGTGAATTTGCTCGATGTGCATACCCATCATGCTTACATCAGTGGGTGTCCTAAGCTCCTTTGTGTCTGTTATCACCCCCACTGGGCACTTTGCTTTAGCTGCTGAAATACAGAACGACCACCACTGTCTATCTAATTATTGATCTAAGACAACACCTTCCATTTTTGCTCATCCACCCCTCAGGTTGTGTTCAAGAAACTACTGTACGGCCTGTGTTTCTTCCACGCCCTGACCCAGGAGAGGAGGAAGTTTGGACCTATAGGCTGGAACATTCCGTACGAGTTCAATGAAACCGACCTCCGGATCTCTGTACAGCAGCTACACATGTTCCTTGAACAGTACGAGGTAGTTATTTTTCCTGTATTTTCCCACATTTTTTTATATTTCTTAAATGAATGATAGTCTTGTTTCCTGAAACTCAGTGGAAGTAGTAAGGGGCCAGCTTCAGGTCTGAGAAGTGAAGCCAATGCAGTAGGGCCTGCATTCTTTATAATGGCCAAAAAGGGGCAAAAAGTAGTCCCCTGTAGTACATTTTATAGAAGCCTATGAGAAAATGACACTGCTTCCCACTTAATTACCTCAGTAGGAATTTTCATAATAAGTTTATGATCTCAATCTTTAGTTTGAAGTCTTCTCCAATACAGCATTAAATTATATTGCCATTTAGAGACAAATAGACGATCATGCAGGGTATATTATGGTGTGGCTATGATGTTATTGACAAGTTGATATCACAGTGAGTTTCTCATTGTTTAGTGTTAGGTTATACGTTTAAGAATTGGGTGTACATTTTTTCCAGTAAGCACATTTTTTAAATACTTTTTCTTGCTAGCCATAATTAGCTTTCCAATAAACACCACAGTTATCATGAATTTAGAGGCGAGGGTCATGACCTTGCTATCGAATGAATACAATTAAGAAGCCGGTCTTTGCTTTCCCCAAGCTGCATATGGCTACATCCACTTCTCATATACAGTCTGAATAAAACACTATCATATGTTTCCCATATTTCCCTTTTTTCAGTATAGGATGCAGGCTAGTGCATAGGCGCACAGCATTGTTGGGTCATACATAATTTACAAATACTCCAATAAACTGATTATATGTCTCTGGCACAAAGTCAAAGTCAGACTCTCACATGCAGATGCACATACACTATACTCCTACGTATATATTCAACTTGTACCTATAACCCTATAATAGAAATCTGGTCTTTTACAAATGCGTTCCTCTTCACTCAAGGATCAGCTTTCATCAGCCATATTCAAAAACCCTCTTGACATTTTCCCACAAACTGAAAGCACTCCAACCCTCCACCATTCCCCACATCCTCTGCTGTAATTGAGAAAAAATAGCAGAAAAAACTACTGAGGGTATCTTTTTTTGAGCAAGTGACATTTTCATCTTGTAACCAAGTGTCACTGGCTGAATTTTGAAGTGAATTCCTCTTCCAGGAAATGCCACACTGGCAAGAACCCCCACCCTTCACCTCCTATTATGTCAGTTCCCCTTCCAAGTCCAGTTTGTGAAGTACATTTAAGCCATGTTTCCTTTTTCTGAAGAACGTTGACATTACACATAAATTGAGATAATGCATTTGTCAACACTGCCCATTCAACATGCAATCCTTACTTGAGATTATTATTAGGTTCCTGTTTGAAATGCATGATTCCATTTTGCTGCAGGAAGTGCCGTTTGATGCCATCCGCTACATGACTGGCGAGTGTAACTACGGAGGCCGTGTGACAGATGACTGGGACAGAAGGACCCTGCGCACCATCCTCTCTATCTTCTACACTTCAAAGGTCGCCACGGACCCTGACTACAAGTTTGATCCCAGCGGGCTCTACTATGCACCAGCTGAGGAGGAGGTAAGATTTGGAAAATTGTGCAACATTGCTATAAATCATTGCAAACACCAGACTTAGCAACAACAAAGTGTGTCTTTGTTAATGGCTGGGATTTACAGAGATTAGGAAATGCAATATGTTATTACAGGGGAAATTAGTACAGTATTTTACAGTCACATTAACAGGGTGCATATTAACAACAAGGGGGAGTTAACTCTTTAAAGGGGCCTGATTATGCTCATTTTCATGTTCATACTGAAAATGAACATGAACGTCCAACAACGAGGTCTTGCTTAAGTTATATGAAACAGCCCCTTACGCATCACTTAACAGAAAAAAAGCCTTAAAAACTCAAGAAAAGTTCCACTCCCTTTTAATGTGTTTGTTTATAAACTAAACATATTTCAGGACTCAGTTTAGTCGTTGAGCTACCTTTAAAAAGTCATTAGGAAATTAAATGTGTGTAACAAGGCACAGCAGGCGACCACCATCAGCGAGCGTTGATATATTTGTTAACACAAGTGCAATCTATGGTGCTCTCCATTTTATTTGGCATTTTGTTCTCCAGTGTTGCACCCCCCCCCCACCCTCCACTGCAACCACATATTTTATTCATGAAGTCACATTTACATAGTCATTAAAATAAATGTCAGCAATCTTAGGAGCTGACTTGTTTTTCAATGACTGTTATTACTCGAGATGTTTCGTTAAAAATGTGCACTTCACTCTGCTCCCTCTGTTTCCTGCATATTGGGTTGCAGTACAACAGCTACATAGAGTACACCAAGGCGCTGCCGCTCAACCCGTCACCGGAGATTTTTGGCATGAACGCCAACGCGGATATCACCAAGGATCAGGTTGAGACTCAGCTACTATTCAACAGCATCCTGCTCACTCAGGTAAATCCACCCGGAGCAAACACCAAGTATCATATTGATTTCCTGTTTGTCAGGAACTAAATAACAAGCATGTACAAGTGCTGAAACACAAACACACACACAATCAAATCAAGATGTTGTACCATCACTTGTCTTTCTTTTGAGCCATTGTAACTTGTAAAAGTAATCCATTAGGGTTAAGCTGCATTCACATGATTTGCGACTCTCTCTTGCTCACCGCCAGGTGCGGCGCGGAGCCTTGCGATGAAAAAAGTTAGTAACGGTACGCAGAGAGGTCAGCAAAGAGGTCAAAGTTGAAATTATTTGAACTTTGAGCGCAGTGCTTGGTGACAATTTGGTGCGGTGATTCCACCTAGTCGGGCGACCACTCTTTCTCCATAGGAACACAACGGCAACGTCAGCACAGGGCCGTTTCACCATGTGGAGCTTGGGTAAGAACACAATAGACAAACACAGACAAGCTGGTTATTAAAGTAAAGAGTATTGCTGTACAACAGTATAAGAGACAGAAGACTTACAGTATAATAAGCCAGTCTAAAAACAGATGATTTTAAGTATTTTTATACTATCTATCACGCAACACAACATGACAACAATGTGCCACTGGACACATAGACGCTTCTTTGATTACCTGTCATCTTTTTGTAAATGACATTATTTTACAGTAAACACACTGATGCTGGAGAACCAGACACTCTTGGTACCAAGTCCAGTACAGAGAGGCCTATAAAAAAAATTATTATGTCCACATTAAAGTTTACTTTTACACTTTCTTTTTAATACTGTTTGTTTTAAACAGAGGGCCATCATTTCACGCAGCAATATGATCCTTAATTCATTACTACACCTTTTAACTGATCTTGTGGATTATGAACACTGTAAAACCGGGCAAAGAATAACAGATATGATAAAAACACGGTTGCCTGGCATGGGTACAGGTGAAAAAAAAAGTTAACTGATCTTCAGTGCCAGCAGCCCTGATTCGCTTCCGCAAAACAATGCTCCCCTCTTGGACAACATCCCAGATGCTCAGTTGGAATGAATCTACTCAGCTGGTAGATTGTAGGCAACACACACACAACATACATACATACAGTATCCCCATCAAACACTGACACCTAGACACTGAAATACTGTCTCAAATAAACGCACATGACATCAATATGCTTCCCTCGAGTTCCCTCCGTCTTCTATAAGTGTCCTTGCCAGCATTAAATATTTGATCGCCCTACATTAGGATGTACTATGCAACATTAATTACAGAGAATAATATAAATAAATATTTCAGTTGTTTGAAGAGACTTCTCAAAGAACAAAAAAAGATGGCTTTGGCGGAGCTGTGTGATCCCACATCATTAAATCTCAGCTCTGTTGAGTCAACATGAATCTAAGAGAGATTTTGCACAGAGACCTACTTAAAGACAAGAGAGGTGCAGTGTCTTCTGAAAGCCGGGAAGGGATTTGTATTCACCCATGTATCCATCTGTTTATTTTAAGATACAGAGCACTTAGCAAAGACTTTTCACTAGGCCCAAACCCTGTGGGAAATAACTTGATATTAACTTTAAGTGGATGCATATAATAGGATCATACATGCACACATACTCTGAAGGCATCATATATATTCTAATCTCTGTAAGATACTAATATAATATACAGCGTTCTGTCAAAAAACAAGAATAAGTAAAGTACATTTTTGGCAAACAAATAGAAGATTATTTCCATAGGCATTGCCACTTTGAGTTCAAATTAGAGCTCGATGGAGTCTGGCATTCATTCAAATAAACTCCTTTCAACAAGATTAATAATGGCTCCAGTCATGTGTGGACTTTATTAGCATCTAATACGGTCCCATCAGTCTCAATGACCGATAAACAGGGAGATGCTTCAAATGGAATGAAACAGCTATTTGTCATTCCCCTACTGTAACCTCGATGCCATTAGGCAATGATTATCCATTACCGCTGCCTGGTGACTGAGCATCAGATAGGTAAATGGTGCAAGTTGGAATGAGAGGAAAGCGGAAGAATCGCAGATTAGAGTGAATAATTATCAGCATGAATGATTATTAGATAAGATTGCGTCAAATGACTGTGTGGGATAAATTGGGGCGAAATGTTGTGAAGCCTTACATTTTCTGATGTGTGTGTGCTCACAGATGGATTGCAGTAAGTATTATGATCTCATTATCCATGGTTTAAGCTACAAGCTAGACGGAAGAACGTATAGAAATTAAAGGAAGGAAGGTCAATTTAAGAGAAATCATATAAATAGGAGGTTCTGTGTCAGTTTGTGTCCATTTTAAAGCATGAATATACATCAATCTGGCGCAAAGATGATGAAATATAAGCAGAAGTCAAGTCAGAAGTCAGAACCTCTTAACATCAGGGTCTTCTCCTGGATCAAAATAGCACCCACGCCAGTCAAATGGAATACATAATGTGACAAGTCAAAGACGGCGAAAAGATAATTTCCTCTCGAAAGATGATGAACTGTCAAAGTCCTGCCTCCGTTTGTCATCCGTCCCTCTGTCGCTCTGTGTCTCTGATCAGTCCCGCTCTTCAGGCGGGGACGCCAAATCCTCGGATGACATGGTCTTTGATGTGGCAGCTGACATCCTGAGCAAGCTGCCTGCAGACTTCGACTTGGAGGCTGTGATGAGGCGCTTCCCCACCACCTACAATCAGAGCATGAACACAGTGCTGGCGCAGGAGATGGGCCGCTTCAACAACCTGCTCAGCGCCATCCGAGCCTCAAGCATCAACATCCAGAAGGCCATAAAGGTACACAGGAGGGGTCGGGTTTAAAGAAATATTACATGTATCCATTTGAGCAGTAAGGGCAAGGAGTGGTTTACTTTTGAGCCCACTCTCAGGGATCCTTATCATTTGGATACTCATAGCGTGATGCATGCCCGAATGCACTGTAATTACATTAAATGTGTTTGTTTTGGATAAACAGCGCAGCCAAATGATGAATCATCATTGATTTCACATTTATGTGCAGCGAAAGCAATATCTCATCAGAGGAAGCGCACCTCTGCTGAATGATTACACGGGAAACTCCGATAATACATTCTCAGAAAACAGATACTGTTGGCAGTAAGCAGCACAATCCAAACGCACTAATCTAAAACCATCATTTTCTATTACAAGGAAACACTCGGACAGTAATTGGGAAAGTTTAGGGCGATTTGCGGAAATGAACCACTATGTAGAATAACTGCTTCCCCCTGAGAATCTATATGCAGTATGCTACTCGATTTCCTATTTAATAACTGCTGATGTTACACTGTGCAATAGGTAAAGGTATAAAGCACTGAGCTGTAGGAAAGCTGAAATTGATACACGATAGAAATTTTGTTGACCCTGTTTGAAGGACAGGAATGAAGCAGCCACCTAAATATATTTAAATTATTAGCTGGTGCTCTTAACCTTCTCTCAGAAAGTACTCTTATCGACTGTAGCATAGAAAATAACTGAGCCCTCGCTGCTGGAAACAGGATCTCCATTTTTGTTAATATTATGTCCTCATACCACTTATTTTTGCAAGTCCACGCACTGCAAAGTGTAATCTACAGCAATAATAATGTCATCAGCATTGTAAACGAGATTTTATCTCAATGCTTTTTATCTGGTTCAATAAAGGTTAAAAAAAATAAAAATCTTTAAATAGCTTGTTTTATATATTTAGTGTGTATTTAATGTGATATAGAAAAGAGAGAAAAACCAACAAATACATTGTTTAAGGCTGAAAGAGCAATTAGTAGGCTATTTCAAACCACTAATATACTTTTAATCAATTGTTTTATAGTCAGCAGAGACCCACTTGCAGAAGAGAACATATCTACTTAAATTAAATACAAATAAAAAATGACTGACTTTGTGTTTCCAAAGGTTTGGAGATATTGCACATGCCATGCCTCATTAGACTAAGAAGAGTAGAATTATTCACTTCATAGTGTTGTGAACTAAAGACCANCTATTGATCTGAGTATATTATAAAGAACAGCCAGTTAATTGAAGCATTATAGCCCAGGCCTTTGTCAGATGGTATATTACGCTGTTTTTTTCTGCTTCGAATAGTTCTCTCTTTTTTCACCATACCTGTGTTTGCATCACTGTCTGTAGCATAGAAAATAACTGAGCCCTCGCTGCTGGAAACAGGATCTCCATTTTTGTTAATATTATGTCCTCATACCACTTATTTTTGCAAGTCCACGCACTGCAAAGTGTAATCTACAGCAATAATAATGTCATCAGCATTGTAAACGAGATTTTATCTCAATGCTTTTTATCTGGTTCAATAAAGGTTAAAAAAAATAAAAATCTTTAAATAGCTTGTTTTATATATTTAGTGTGTATTTAATGTGATATAGAAAAGAGAGAAAAACCAACAAATACATTGTTTAAGGCTGAAAGAGCAATTAGTAGGCTATTTCAAACCACTAATATACTTTTAATCAATTGTTTTATAGTCAGCAGAGACCCACTTGCAGAAGAGAACATATCTACTTAAATTAAATACAAATAAAAAATGACTGACTTTGTGTTTCCAAAGGTTTGGAGATATTGCACATGCCATGCCTCATTAGACTAAGAAGAGTAGAATTATTCACTTCATAGTGTTGTGAACTAAAGACCAAACAGAATATAATCTGAGCATATGTGCATATGTTTAGCACTGCACTCCTCATTAAACCACATTAAAAGAATGTAAAAGTACACGCCTGAGCATACATGTGTCTTTTTATACCATTTATTAAACAACTCCACACACATTTCCGCTCCTCCTGAGATGCAGCAGTCTCTTGGGAATGAAGTGGAAAGTGCATAAAGAGTCGGGAAGGGGAAGGAGCTCATCACCCTTCACACTTTATCAAAGACCCCCTTCAGAGCAAATAAGGGTTTTCAAATAAGCTGTGTGTCACCCATCTCAACAGAGAGGGTTTTAAGTGACAAGTGCATTTCTCTCATATTCCATTCAGTGTTAGAGCAGCAGTAGAACAACTCCACATTTCCAATCACTACACAAGTTTGTTTGTTAAAGAAACTTAATTAAACTTACTCTCATTTCACACAACTCCGCTCTTTTTAAATGTTGTGATCCCGCAGCGAACTTCCACCATGGCCTTGCAGGACATTTTCAGAATGAATACTTCTAATTGCATTTTAGTTTTCTCCTATCTGTGAAACTGTTTCCTGTTTCCATATGGGACATAGGTTTCAGATCTCCTGTTTGTGAAGACAAAAGAAAATGTGCTCGCCTATTCCTGTTTGTTCCACCCTTGATACTATGTGTGTATATAGAAATATGGTCTGATACAGTATCTTGTTTTAGTCTTGATCTCTGTCATTTTCACCTGAAACCTTTCTTTAGACAATAGATTAATAAACCACCCATGACAATGTTTTGTAGCTTCATTAGTTATTCATGTGTCATTAGCAGATTGACGTTGAATTTTCACAACAAAGTTAATCGTGTGTTTGTTCCTGCAGTAAATGTGTGTTTATTGACGTGCAGGGGCTGGTGGTGATGTCTTCAGAGCTGGAGGAGGTGGTCAGCAGCATTTTGACAGGTCGTATCCCGGGCATGTGGATGAAAAAGTCGTACCCCAGCCTCAAACCCCTGGGAAGCTACGTCAATGACTTCCTGGAGCGGCTTCATTTTTTACAGGTACGACATATCAGAAAAAACAACATTGTATATTATGTTAAAAAATGCTATTAAGAGCATCAAAGTACATTATGTCATAGAAATATCAGAAAAAATGACATAGTATACTGTAGTATGTAAAATAGAAAGAAAAAAACGACATAGAAGAAATGACATACTATATTCAGGAAAAAAAAACTCCACTCCACTAGCACCCAAACACCCCCTTTTAGGTCTAAACTATTTCATAGTAAACCATGTTGAAAATAAGTTGTAGATAAAACTTCACTAAATCATTTTTTTTTTCAAAACAAGGTTGGTTTAGAGAAAAAACGACTTATCCTCGGAGAAAAGTCCTTCTTTGCTCTTTACTTATTTTAATAAACACATACTTTTCAGTCTTGATAAAGGTCATGCTTCTACAACTTAACTTTTCTAGAGCCAACATTGATTTGTCTGAGCAAAGTCATATTTTATCAGCATTTGGCTGGTGGCTAGGGCTAATGTCTCACATTGGTTATAATAGCTACTATACCGATGCAAGGATACCTAACTTAAAATGACTTGGTTAGGATTTGGGCTACCACACGCCTCTAAAACGTTTTATTGAATTTACTGTACAATGCTGTGTCTCATTATGAAGCTTTTTTCTAAGCCATGTCATATACCGTGAAAGTTCGCACATTGTGTGAATTTCAAATGGTTAGCGTTTTCTCAAATTGCACACAGCTGCTGAGCTCATACACAGCATTTGTATGCACTTATGCTATCAAAATAGGAACCATGAGTACAGAAGTATGCGAATTGAGACACAGCACAAGTCTGAAACAATAATTGGCCTCTCAGGGCTAGTATCACATGAAAAGTTATATACTGGCCCCTCTATAATGAACTGAAGCCCTGCCTTTTTAAGCCTTAAGCTGTGTCACACATGAGTTACACAAGACCATTCCATTACTTGTGTATACACAGGAGCGAGGGGGATTCAGTAATCCCTTTCGCTCATGGGCACGGTCGGTACAAGGAACACTTGCAGACACATGACATAACCATGTGAGTCTGCAAAGTGAACTTCTTCATCAGTCAGTTCTCATGCTTCCCTTTCTGTCTTCACAGGAGAAAAGCAGTTTCACTCCTGATACTTGCTCAATGGAGTGGAAGATGTTTTGTGTGTGTGTCTGTGTGAGTGTGTGTGAACAGAGATGTCCAACCACGACTCCCCACAGGGTGAAATTTCAAGTCACGGGTTTCTTATCTAAGGCAGCATGCTTTAGGAACAGAATACCTTTACTTTTTTAGGAAGATGTCTGTTTGATGTTTTTGTCGTTCTCAACTCTCTTCAAAACAGCAATTTCCTCCAAGTGTGTTCAGGAAACAAAGCCTAGAAGTATAAATATTACCCAGGTTCATTGTTGCTTTCATGAACTTCATGATAAATGTTACATAACCAACCCCAAACTTAAAAACAGGGATCTAGACAGAAAAGAGATAGTGATACACTCTCCAATACTTTCTGACCTGTTGAACTAAACACATTTCCATCTCTTACGTCTGTGTGGTTAGAGCTCATTATCAAATGTAAGCATTCTAACACGCTAAACTAAACTGGCAAACCTGATAAACATTATACCTGTTTCAGCCATTTTTTATTCAACCATCTGAAATCATCTGAAAGCCGATAGGTCCTCTGTACTCTGGTTGATTTTGGTTATACATATCCTTCTATTTAATTTCCCCCTCTCCTCTTTCTTCTCTGCTGTGTTTTCAGGACTGGTATGAGCACGGCACCCCAGCTGTTTTCTGGGTATCAGGGTTCTTTTTCACCCAGGCCTTCCTCACAGGCAGCCAGCAGAACTATGCCAGGAAACACACCGTCCCTATCGACTTACTCGGCTTTGACTTTGAAGTCCTGGAAGACCACCAATACAAACGGCCCCCAGAGGATGGTAGGATAATAAGAGGGGGAGTTAAGAACATTGATGGATAGAACATTGTTTAAAAGCAAAGCAGGATATTAGGAGCTTTTGATAGGGTTACATGTCTCTGTTCTACAAACCATCTCTTAGTTTCTTGAAGGTAGAGAGAACAAACCAGAAATATAGAGAGCACCTGATGAGGGAATGATAGAACATAAAATCCAGCGCTTTGAGCACCTGGAAAAGCGCTCTAATAAAAATGTAATGCATTATTATTATTATTATTATATTAAAAAATGCGCAAGGGAAGGAAAAGCGGAACATAAAATGTTTTGGCTGGGAAGAAAAAACCACAACAAACAGATGAAAACTGAGTGTAAATAATTAGACACAGCTTCTTTACAATAAAAATAAGAATACTTAACAGTATGAAATACCATAGTTACCAAATAATTAAAATATAAAACAAAACCAATATCATTTATATGCTAAAAATATGGGTAAAATAATAACAATGTGAATCGCATACAAATAGTATCGTTTTAAAATCCTGAATATTCAAAATTCTGAAAAGTAAGTTATACAATTGTTTTAAAATTATACAGCACATCTGACAATTAAACTGAGCAAAATTGGAATTATTGACAAGAAAACCCTTAAAATGATTCCTTAAACCAGTATATAAAATAAACAAATAGACTTCCCATCTTAAAATTGACAAAAATCACACAGACAACATACAATGCTGTAGTGTAGTAGCAACAACAACAGGAGGTGTGTAAACAGAAGTATGACATGAAACATTTGAAAAGACACATTTAATGAGAGGAGAAAAAAGTCATTCCTGTAATCACATATATTAACCAAATTGATCACTGTGTGAATATCCGGGGGAACTCTTTTAATTAGCCTCTCTATGATGAAAATCATAAAAAAAAATTAATAAGCAATCTCAATTTAAAAGTATTTAACCCCAACTTATTTGATGTTATATCCAACTATATTAAACAATTGGATTGAGTTTGAATCAACAGAAAACGTTTTACTGGACACCCCCTCTCTCAGCCAGATACACCCTAGAGCCGAACACTTGTACGTATGCGACCAACTAAAAACAATACATGAAAGCCAAAAATATATCAGAAGGAATGCATTGGTGTATTTCATGTCTTTTTACATGAGCTCCTGGCTGTGCCTCCAGCTCTGCTGAGAGATTCAAAGTCAGAGTCCATAGTCAGTCCCCACCTGGGGCCCAGTCAAACATACACATCCTTTACTGCCAGGCTACAAATCTAACGGTGTGTTTGTGCATTTTAGTGTCTGATACAGGCAGTTGGTTATCTCTTAATCTCACATGTATCTCCCCACCATACTAATAGCAGAGCTCACATGCTTTTTTCCTTATTATAAAGCTTTACAGTTGCTTGCCAACATGTCACACGGTTCCTCCATATGACTAGGGGTCGTGGAAAGTTCCTAGGAGCTAGACGATTATATTAATATCTCAGTAACACTAACCTTCCTTGTTCCTCTGAATGATCTCTTTGTGTTTGTGTGTGTGACCCTCAGGTGTGTACATCAGAGGTCTGTTTCTGGATGGTGCCCGCTGGGACAGGAAGGCCCGACTCCTCGCTGAGTCCTACCCCAAAGTGCTGCACGACCCCATGCCCGTGGTGAGTGAGAAGCACAGAGATATAGATATAGAGCAGAGTTTTAGAATCTTCACACATACCATTACTACTTCATTTATTTAACCTGACTTTGTGTGCATGTTTGACAATGTCCTTTTTTTCTTGTTGTTTTGCCATAACAACTCTGTAGCCTGTAATCATCTCATCAATATTAGCACAAGGGCTCCCTCAACAACAGTTTAATTTTTCCATTGGATTTCTGAAAATACTGAAGAGAAGAAAATATGATCTGTGGCAGGCCAAAATATATGGTATTTACATGTTATGTTTAGCATTTTAATCTCCACAAATTAACACCACGTTTATATTTTTTAAGGTTAAATACAATTGGTAGAAGTAAAAAGCTGATGTTAAACGAACTTCATATCAGTTACATGACTTCACTTCAACAGCGTTTGGTAGTCTCATTGCATATTGGAAAAGATGAATGAGACTTTTATTCCTGGAACGCTAAGCAATTGTATAAGCATCAGTTGGAACAACACCAGAGTTATTTAGATGCCTGAAGAAACCTGAATAATGAACCAGAATAAAAACAGACACATGCTTACTTTGACATTTTTTTAAATATAAATGATCAGACAATAACCACTCATGTACATGAAGTACTGTAGCTGCTCTGGAGCTTTAGAACTTATCACTTCTCATCCATGTTGGCTTGATAGTAAAACAAAATGGCCAAAACACATGCCATTGAAGAGACATCTTCAAAAACACTGCACAAACGAAAAGCTGTAAGAAGCTCAAAACACAACGGAAACGTGGACACTAAAAAGTGATGCACACAGATGGGACAGGAACTCTTGTTGGCAGCCCAGGATTATAAATTGGCCAACATTTGTGTTTTTATATTTGCATCGTTTTTGAAAGTGCATTGCTTTTCTCCTAATGTTATTGTTTTTGGCCATTGTAGCACATTTGCACAGTTTGGCCACTATATAAAAGTCTAGTTTTTAGTTGTTTTTCTATTTGAGTGTGGGTTTACCTTTTTAATATTAATAATAATAATAATCAGCAACTGTTGAGCCTTTTCTTTTTTTCGCAATGAAAAGGACAAATGACGAACAAAGTAGGGAGAAGGTGAATAATACAACTGTGGTTCAAACTGCAGCTGCAACTATGAAGCCTTAAGGTAGGATCACATGGCAGTGTGCGATGAGAACAAGTACAGACAAGCAGTCAAAAGAAAAGAAATAATCCTTGTTGCATAACATTCTTACACAAAGTTTGAGGGGAGGAGGTGTATTGAATCTGCCCCTGTGGATATCTCGGGGCGAAAACGTTTTTTTCCTGTTCACGTGTCAAATTATGAAAATGGGGCATCATTTTCAGGCTGTTAAAACAATCTGAGACTAATATTGTGAGTCTCGGAGGAGAAGGGGAACAACAAGCTCCATCCTGTAGCTGTTTCTCTACCCAGGAGGATGTTAGCAGCTCCTTGTTCTCTGGACGCCATACTTCTGTTTTTTTTACATTGTGCCCGCAGGAAGCCTCGCTCTCTCATCCTTTTATTCATTACCAGAGCTTGATATTGAATATGAAAGCAGAGTGGCAGGGTGATGGAACAGAGTGCCAGTGGCAGAGAGCTGATCAAGTTTTCCCCTCTTTTTTCATCCCCCCTCTGTTCTTCACAAAGCATTCAGGGATTATGAATAATGCACAAGACCAACTTTTTGAATATTCAGACATTTCGGGGCAAGTTATTAACAGAATCAGTTTTTTGACAAGAGCGGAACTTAATTAAAAATGTGTTTATTATGATGAGGGGTGGAAGAGCACAACAGAGGCTGGCTTTGAAATGCAAATCTGCACAGAAGCGCCCGTTATGGAACCAGATGAGGACTTTTCTGGCTCAACAAACTGTTTCGGGTTTTGTTTTGTTTTTAAAGATGTTTTTATGAGTGGCCCAGTTTATCCTTTTTGCATAACCAAGACTTCTTAATAGCCCAAGGGGAACTCTTCCTTGTTAATACTATTGTTTTATAAGTTTACTTCCCCAAAGTTTCAATTTGTAAGATAATGTTTGGATAACAGATATAGATACAGATAAGTTCCTACTGCGTTTCATGCCCTAGTGGGAACAAAAGTACTTCGATTTTGTACTTAAGTAAAAGTAAAAAAAAATAAGTTGCTCCAATTTATTTAACTTATTGAAGAAATATCTAAGTATTGGCAAAACTAAAAGTACTTGTTTTGCGTATTAGCCCATTTCAGAATCATATATATCAAATAACTGCATTGTTATTATTGAGCTCGTTCAGCTCATCACAGCTGGTAAAGGTGGAGCTACATTTAAAGGGGCCCTATTATGGACTTTGCGGTAGATGAACTCTGGGATTTTAGCCTTTGCAGAGCATTTACATGCACAAAAACCTACAGTGGTGGAAATAAGTATTTGATCCTTTGCAGATTTTGTAAGTTTGCCCACTTACAAAGAAATTAACAGTCTATCATTTTAATGGTAGTTTAATTTTACTAATGAGAGAAAGAGTGTCAAAAAGAAATTGGCATTATATAAAAGATAAAAATAGATTTGCATTTAACTGTGGGAAATAAGTATTTGATCCCCTTGCAAACCATGTCTTGGTACTTGTTGGAGAAACCCTTGTTGGACAGACAGGTCAGACGCTTCTTGTAGTTGGTCCAGGTTTGTGAACATCTCAGGAAGGATTTTGGTCCACAAATCCTGAAGGTTTTGAGGCTGATGCTTGGCCTCTGGAAGCTTCAGCTCCCTCCACAGATTTTCTATGGGATTAAGGTCTGGAGACTGGCTAGGCCCCTCCATCACCTAAATGTGCTTCTTCTTTAGTCACTCCTTTGTTGCCTTGGCCGTATGTTCAGGTTTATTGTCCTGCTGGAAGACCCGTCCATGATCCATTTTCAGTGTCCTGGCTGAGGGAAGGAGGCTATCGGCCAAGATTTTGCGGTACACAGCCCTGTACATCCTCTCCTCGATGCAGGGAAGTGGTCCTGTCCCCCCAGAGAAACACCCCCAAAGCATAATGTTTCCACCTCATTGCTTGACGGTGAGGATGGTGTTCTGGGGGTTATAGTCAGCATTTCTCTTCCTCCAAACATGATGGTCGAGTTGATGCCAAAGATCAACATTTTGGTCTCATCTGACCACATCATCTTCTCCCAAGCCTTCCCTGAATTATTGAGATGTTCATTGGCAACTTTTCATGATCACCAATACCCCACGGGTCGAGATCTTGTGTGGAGCCCCAGACCGAGGGTGATTGATGCTCCTTTTCTGTTACTTCCATTTAGAAACACACACATTATTCTTCTGAATAATCGCATCACCAACAGTTGTCTCGTTCTCACCAAGCTGCTTTCTGATGGTCTTGAAGTCATTCCCAGCCTTGTGCCTCTAAAGTCTTCTCTCTGAGGTCCTTAGACAGCTCTTTGGTCTTGCCCATGGTAGAGAGGTTGGAATCTGATTGATTGATTCTGTGGACAGGTGTCTTTTATACAGGTTACAAGCTGATATTAGGAGTACTTTCTTAAAGGAAGATGACTTATTTAACCGGTCTGTGGGAGCCAGAGGATCAAATACTTATTTCCCACAGTATTATGCAAATACATTTTAATCTTTTATATAATGTCAATCTCTGGATTTTCTTTTTGATATTCTTACTCTCACTGTTTATATGAGCCTACAATTACAATTATAGACTTTTTTGTACGGGCAAACTTACAAAAGCTGCAGGGGATCAAATACTTATTTGCTCCACTGCATAGCAGTGTTTTTGAATGGGGTTGCAAGTAGGGGTGCAAGGGGCCCAAGGGCCGGCAGTATAGGGACTTGGCCTTGGAACGGAAGAATTGCCGGTTCTTGTCCAGATCAGACGAATGGAGTGTGGACTGGTAGCTGGAGAGGTGCCAGTTTTCCCCTCTTGGCCACTGCGCAGTGCCCTTGAGCAAGGCACCAACCCTCCCTGGTGCCGGCTAACTGGCAGCCTCTCTGCTCTGACACCTCTCCTATCTGGTTGTGTGTGTGCCTTTATATCCTCTGTGCATGTATATCCTACCTATGTGTGTAAACACAACAGACAGAAAAAGTATTTCTCTGTTGGGGATTAATAAAGTACGTGTTCTTCTTCAATTACCCTGCAAGTACCAGTACTCTGAAAAACCCCTAAACTTGAGATATATTTGAGATTAGTATCAGTTCATGCATTATCTCTTAATCATTTTACCATAATACATTCAATACAAATGTAATTGTTGGTTTGATAAACATTGAATATTAATATATTTGTAATGCAATCTTTAACTGCCGTAATCTAAGCTTTCAACAAAAGCAAATAGTATCCTCTTCAAATCATCTAGCTCGTATCAGACTTGTTGTATAATTCCATTCAAAGAAAAACGTGGAAACCGATGCACTTTATTTATTTACTTTTTTACAAGCTCTTTGAAAAGCACATTATATTTTAATTATAAGACAAATAAATCTGCAGGATATTGTAAGACAATCTATGTACATTATAGACTCACACCGAGAGGAATAGATTCACATAACAGCTGTAGAGTGATGATGCATAACTAATACAACCTTGAACATGTTGGGATATACCCTACTGTAAGATACACATTCATGTAAAACTGAAAAATGCATTACTTTGCAGTGTGTGTGTGTGTGTGTGTGTGTGTGTGTGTGTGTGTGTGTGTGTGTGTGTGTGTGTGTGTGTGTGTGTGTTTGTGTGCATATGTTATATAGTGATCAAGTCTGACAGTCTGATTCTAGTGAGGAAACAGCTCACTGCAGTCTCCATGGAAACAGGCAAGAGGCGATTGAAGTNATACGATCTACAAAACTTTGAGTCAATTACCCTCAGTAAAATATAACGAAGTCAATATATTAGCATTGTCTAGCTTTTCAAGCCTATGAAAAAGTTATTTACTAATGTGTTTGTGTTGTTGTATTATTAATGTAAGTTTCTTTGATGAACATCATTTTCCTTCATGTAATAAGTTTTCAAAATGTACCTGAGAAACCTATTTCTATTTGTGCCCTCTATGTCTAGGAGAGAAATGGGAGAGGGAGGACTGTCGGGCAGTCGAAAGAGTACGTGAGTGATTTGCAACGTAGTCCATAGTACGTCGACTACAGGCCAAATGCTAACAGTGAGCGCAAATACCATATAGCTAGTCTAGTCGGATGACTACCGGTAATATATCTCTCGTGGCTAGTTTGATAATTCTCACTTATAGCCGGCTATTACTAGCTGCCGGTTAACTAGCGCTCGTAGGATTAATATGGCCTGTAAAACTGTCCCGTCCAAAACTTAAATGCCAAAAATTTATGTTAAAATGGTCGACTTTTGGCCAATTAATAGCCGATGTCTTTGGGGCTACATGTGCCACTTAAAATTGGAAAAAAAATTTTGTTTAAACATAAAGACAAACTATTCCGAAGATAAAGTAGACAAATGAGACTCGTATTTACTATTAGTTCATTGATTTTACAATAAGATTTACCATACAGTGGACAGTGACACCCAAACGGGGAATTGCAACGAACTCTTCCAAATGTTCGTGGTAAAAATTGATTTTTCGATACAACACAAAAATATGCACTAAATTGTGAAAACTTGTTGTCCACAGACAGGCAGACTTTGAGGTGCACTCCGACGACACACACACATCGTCTCGCAGACACAAAAGAAGGTGCCGCTCGCCGGTGGCCTTCCACTCGTCTTGAACTTCGTCTGACAATACTCCTACCCTTGTTCGTGTGCGGGGTCGTCTCTGTCGTCCGACTACTACCAACTACCTCTGCTTGGGGTGTCGGTGGGGGAGGTGTGACCGCCTCTCTGTCCCTCTGCCTACATTCTTGTCCATTATAAGTGAGATGTCTCGTACTCTTGTTCGTGCCGGTGGTGGATACAAAACGTTTACGGAAAATAACACTTCAGGGTTTTTTCTTGAGTCGGTGTCGTAGTCGGAGTAAATTGCCGACCGATTTCTATAAGCAAGATGCAGGAGGACAAGGGCAACACTTCCTTTCGTAGGAGGTCTCCTTAGAGGGCTTAGGACACAGGAAACACTCTGTGTACTACGGACTTCGGTCTTTGCATTTCACTGTAAAGTCCGTCTTAAGGTGAGAGGAAGTAGACAATATAAGTTCCGGCGTTCCCTGCCGTCTCTTATCTTGTGTCTATCACTTCCCATGCTCCATCTACTCAATAATTATAGACCGTCAGAGGCTATGTACAGTCTTTCTACACTGTATTTAGAGAGTCGACAGAGAGCTATTAAAGAAGCAAGGTGGTTTGTCTTCTGTTTGTTACAAATTTACAGACATACTTTAAGTTTACAGTGCAGGATTTCGGCTACCCAGGACTGACGTCTGCTATTCGATATCCTTCTCATAAACCTGACCTTGTGCTTCCTTCTATATTACGTGTTAGAATGTCTGGTAAAGTAAATCACTCCCGGAAAGTCCCTGTCGTTTTGACCCCTCGTTATCAGACTTTCAATCAGTATAATGATTCCAATCCCTAACGGACATTAAACCGAACTGCGCGCCCGTTGTTTATTACCGGAAACTCGTGTTACAGAACCATCTTTTGTTCGACACGTAGTTTTTCGTCTCCTTTTTTCCACGGTGTCATAAGTTTGTTACATAAATCTTAATCTTACTAAACCATTAACAACACAAAATTCCAATTTATGTGTATACTTTTTGAATAAAGAAGTTAAAGAGGGTAAGTTTTTCATTTAAAAAAATTAATTTATAAGGGATTTTTCCGTTATTATGTACACTACTACCAGTGTACTCACTAACACATCTAGTTGGGGGTATATTCGTAAAAAAAAGTTCCTAATAATAAAGTTCGTAAATAAGGTAAAACTTTGAAAATTCTTGAATATATCTTGGAGCAACAGCACCTCTCCCAGTTTCGACTCGGTTACATAATAAAGTCCTGACACCCGACAAATCAGAAATCGTACTTCGTGACTGTCGAGAGAGGTTCAAAATAAGAAAACCGTAAAAGTCGTGACCCGTCCTGGAGCGTGTTTGTACATTTATGACGTGTGTAACTAAAAACCTGTTATACGTTTAATTTAATATATCTTTACAGTAAAACTTCATTGAAATTGTACGTGTTTCGTAAAGTTATTCTATAGGATTATACCCACATAAATACATTTAATAATAAACGTAATTACAACTGTAAATAATTCCAAACCCGTGAAGATAAACATAAAATTTCGTAAACACTAGAATATGTATTGATTATGTAATGTCTTTCAGAACACAACAAAGACTCGTGTCTGTACAGTGATATACATACCATATACATTATTTTCTGTTGTGGAGAGGCAATATAAACATTACTTACCTCATTTGTAAAACTAGGTCTATAGGCTCAAGGGTTATTATAAACTCCAACCCTCACAGAGAAATTTTTAATGGGTATCAGGAAATAACAATCCTTCCAATCTTACCAGTGTCTATAAAATACCAATATGTAATAAAATACCAGGGAGATATATCAGTCCGGTAATTACCTGCGAACGGAAACTCTGCTACACAATTCTTATTTTTATTATTGAAACAGGACCGGTAAGCTTCAAATTTGTCCGGTAAAATTAATTCTTTCCGGACATTTGACCGGCGAGAAAAAAATCCTAGTGGAAACCCTGGTGTACATGATTTTACAACATGAAATACATGTTATCTGTACACAAACATGCACCAATCCATGTATACCCATACTAACACTAAGAAGACATCCATACACTTATGTACAACCATACATGCATTAAAAAAGGCCATCAAACTCCCGAAAACACTAAAAAGGTAAAACCGGATTTCTTTTTTTAACAAAAATATATATATATTTTTAAAAAAAGGATTCTTAAAATCAAAAAATCAAAAGAAGGAATTGATATATAAAAGCTTATTTTTTAGCAAAGTGTGATAAATCAAAGCTGACAAAATGCCTTGTCATGCACTAAATCAGCCAATCACAGGCCAGCTGAGATGACATGTCATGGCTCGCCACAGCTTCCTGCATGTCATAATTAAAATATCAGATTTGCTGTTTGATATATTATTAACACACATTTAATGACTTTAATGTGATTATATTAACCTCATAGCCAGGTCACACTTGAAGAAGAGATTTGATTCCTCCAAAGACTTTTATCTGGTTAAATAAAGGATGTATATTCATCAGGCAAGGGATAGGCATTTTAATCAGGCAAGAAATAGGCACGTTAATCAAACAGCAGGCAAGCTAAAAGTAAAGTGTTTGTGTTTCTTAAATGGCAGGTTTATATATTTAGTTATACTTCTCTTTCATTGTCTTTACACTTACCGGAATTATTCCTATTTTAAGTTGAATGTGCAAACATTAAATGTATTTCTTCTGAATCATGTCATAAACCTTTGTGTCGTATGGCGTGAAGGGGGTAAAATAGATTTTTCCTCCTAAATTTGAAGAATTCTAGCTTATGGTAATTCTAGACTGACTTAGAAGACCTGCCTCACCCACACTGCTCATTCTGTTGTTCCTCTCAACATCAGAAATGTGTGAAATCTATGTTCTGATCAAGTCTTCACGTCCACAGTCTCAGGGGCAGCACGACCACGGCGAGCCCAAGTCGACCGACGAAAGAGATTATCTGAATGACTTTGATGGAGTATGGAAGGGCCTCACGGCGCTGGCCGGCATCTACTTCCTCTTCATCGTGGAACACTGCATCGGCATGTTTCAGCACTACAAAGACCACAAGGTGAGAGACACTTCATTCTCACAAGCTGCTTCCGTCTTTGAGTATGGTAAGAGTGTTGCATTTCTGCAGATAGATTCTAAACTTGGCTCTGCTCGCAGGGCACGAAGAAGGCTAATGAGGAGGGCACCATCGGCAGGAAGTTGTCAGATCACAAATTAAATCGTCGCTCTGATGCAGAGTGGCTGCACCTGAAGCCTCTCAGTGAAGGTAAGAAGTGTTCGGACAGAAAGATTGGTTTTTGGGCCACTAACAGAGGCCAGCACAGGTCGAGTTATGAAAAGCCACACCCACCAGCACCAGGCTTTCACAGTAAGAAAATGAAAACTGTCTGCTGATTTTGTTGATAAAATATAATGATTACGATTTTAAAGACACTGCTCAATCATTTTCATTCCTGATTAATCCCGAAAAATGTAGTTCTTACCTGCAGCTTGCCCACATTTTGTTCCTTTTTTACTTGTACCCATACCTGTGCATTTCTATCCAACATATTCTATAAGTGGATGATGGGCCAATGTATCAAATGGTAAACGCTTCTTGTTTCCTAAATAGGTGTAATCTAATGTACTTATATTTTACTATGCTATCGTGGGATAACTCATGTTTAGCATTACAAAAATGAGTTAGCTGAGCCTTTGGTAATGCTAAGTGATGTTAGATTGACATTTTGACACCGTTTGACTTACGTTAGCGTTTTGCAAGATCTCACAAAGGTGTTGAGACACAAATCAGACCTCAAGAAAGTTAATTTCTTCTAATTATTCTGTCGGAAAAATGCCATTTGTGTCAAAATGTTCCAAAGATATGTGTGAAAATAGGTCCAATATTTACTTTGGTGACTACAGGGAGATATAATCAGTCATTATCTGCGTTCACGCTTAATTCTTCCATTTGAGTTAATAGACTAACACTTACAGCTAGTCGCTTTAAAAGGCACAGCCACTTGACACAGATACATCAAATTGACTCAGTCAGCATTCTTTTCTCAAACATTAATATTAATGTATATTTTAACCTATTACACCACTTATTTACAGTGTACCCGACCTGATTCATTAATCTGGCCCACAAGTCTTTTTCTGTGTGGCCATCACTGTAACATCTCCTCTCTCCTCCAGACCCTGAAGGCACCGCCGTCTCCTGTGACAACGGTCACAACGACACTCAGCTCTCAGAGCTCCAGACGCCGGACTCGCCCACCAACAAAACCCCGTTGGCACCCAAGGTATCCAGCGAGGAGCACCCGCCCCCCAACAAGGAGAACGGAGGCAAGGCCAAGAAGCACGGACACTCGCACGGCCACGGGCACTCCCACGGGGGGAACTGCCACTCGGACCAGGAGATGAAGGACGCCGGGATCGCCAGCATCGCCTGGATGGTCATCATGGGCGACGGCATGCATAACTTCAGTGACGGTCTGGCTATAGGTGAGAACTTCTGCCACTGTGTTTCATCTGCAGGGTCCACTTCAAAGGTTAAATGTATTTACTGGAATTCCCTTAAAGCTGTCAGTCACATTCTGTTTCCCCCTCATGATTTCTGACATCACAGCAGCATCATGAAATGCCGTTCTCCCCTCAGCAATGAGAAATGGTAAATTGATTCTCTAGGTACTGGTTTAACTTCTGTTAACTCGCTAAAAACAATCCTGCCTCCCTAATTACTGTATAGACGTGGAACGATATGAACATGTTATCGCTCCATTATTTTGCCTGAAATAATTGCGATTCACAATGTTATCCCAATGTTTATCAAAATAAGCTTGAAACTGGAATTGCTTATATTGCATCAGAGGTATGACTGCAATTAGTTTTATGTGGAAAAAAAAATAAAAATAAGGATATTATAAATCATAAAGTCCCCCAGCTTAAATTAAGGAAAAAATAAATATATAGAAAAAGTCTTCCTTACATGATGATTCCTATATTTTAAAATCAGCCTTTTTCATTATCTTTTTTACCATTTCATAGAGCTAGACAGCTTTTTTTTAAGTCACTCATGCGATATTTAGGTTTATCCCGTGAATTGAAATCACTCCAATTAACTCACTGTGAGATCAAATCTGTCGCACCCTTCTTATCGTACCATGACAACAACAAAAAGACTGTCTATTTATAAAATAAATTGCTTGAAAATGTAAACATCTTGAGGAATGTTTCATTGGTTAAATATGTAAAAGAATTGAAGTGTAAAACACTTTTGTTTTCATGGCGGGTTCAGTGCTGTACTTATTTGGCTGAAGCTTCACATTTAGTGAACAGACATGCGAGCAATATCCATCTTCTCAACTTTCAGCAGAAAAACTAAAACCTGATTTCCCCCCGTCTAACATTCCCTGACCTTTTTGTGTGTGCAGGCGCAGCATTCAGTGCAAACTTGACGGGAGGCATCAGCACATCAGTGGCTGTTTTCTGCCACGAATTACCTCATGAACTCGGTAAGTAGCGTGAAACAAGAGAAAGTGTCCAAAATAATTACACGCTAGACACTGCACCCTTCACTTCTCCAACAAGTAGAACAAAGAAGTTAGCTCACATAATGAAACCCAGCGTAGAAATTGCTGCATCATGCAAAACGTCTCTTTTCTCACTTTGCCTGAAACTTTAACCTGGAGTGTCACGCCTTTCGGTCCTGGAAACTCAAATATCATCCCTCTTCTTGCGTTCATTTCACCCCCGATCAGTGTCTGTCGGTGAGGATGAAACGACGAGCCTGGCTCAATACGGTCAGGCTCAAACACTGTACAGCAGCCGGGCCTTCATCTGCATTCAGATCTCTCCGAGGAACCATTCGATTCACTTTGACTCAGCAACATTGAACTTTAGGGTTCGGAGTGGTGCTTTTTTTTAAGCTTTTTTGTTGATTGTGTTGAGAGTGCTGTGAAACAGACAGGCACCGGGGGCCCTTCACAGCTGATCAGTACTAATGATACGTCTCATGGTGTTGCAGTGTCCACTCCTCGTTTGTTTGCCTGATGACTAGAGCAGTGTCAATTACAGCAAAGTGTGAAGTGGAGGATCACTATCCTGTGTTTGTCTGCCTGCTCCCCCCCGTGTTTACTTACTAGCCGCGTCCTGTTAGACTGTTGTGATGGTCAGGGGAGAAAAGAGGAACATGTTAAAAGTGTTTTGATGCAGGTGAAACAAGTTAAACTATCGCCGGCTTTAAGAGGAGACACTACAGGTGAATAGAATAGAAATACATATCACCATAACAATTCCCCCGCTGATTACTTTCACAGAGACAAGTTTCATTTGCATTTTACATTTTTGGGATGAAATGTTCAAGTATGCAAATAAGGCATTATCTTATTATGTGTGCTAATTTGCATTTCAGAACAGACATGTGAACTTGGATAATTTCTTGTTTAATGTCAGGTTTTAACAAAGGGGAATACAAGTTTTTCACAGTCGTTAAAATGAAAACTATTTTTGGCATGTCACTAGGAATAAAATACTTTATAAATCCGGCTATGAGTTAGAACAAACCCCTCGGTAATAACTTTCCGAATATAGAAAGTATGCATCTCTGCATATCAGATTTGTACATCTTTTTTTAAAACTAAGAAACATGATGCCTTTAAGGATAAGTATTGTAACATTTGTCACGTTCTCAAGCCACTTCAGGTTTTTAAATTACCTTAAGTGTCACTATAAATATTTCCCAGCTAAGATAACTTTATGTTGTATTACATGTGTAATCTAATGCAGATAGTTAGGGAAAATCTACAGTAATAAAAAGACAAAGTTAGTCAAATAAACAACTTCTTGTGTATTTTGGATGTTTCCTTCACTTCAAAAAGAAAAGACATGAAATAGAAGTGAAATAGCATACACATCAAATTGACCCATCCATGAATAAAAAAGAGATGTTTTCCTGTAGCTTCTGACTTGAATCTGTGACGTGAGGCATTTGGCTGTTTTTAGTGCCAGAAAATCTGCAGTCTTCTGCTTCAGGATAGAGGAGCTCTGATTCCGCTCCAACACATTTGTCTCTATTTTGACTCGCCGTGCTGCAGTTTCCAGATGGTCGAGTGCCGCTCAAGTCCCGTCTCAAGCGGCATGTGAATATTTTCGAGATCAGTCTCCTTTCGTATTATTTCACATTTCCTGTTGATTCACTTCCCCGCTCTTTAGCAGCACTCTGCCTCCGCCCCGTAGGGCCCCTCGTCAGACAAACCCAGCGGTTTGACAAGTGCACTTCTCGGCTCCTCCTGAACACGAGAGCCGTCCCCCGCCTGGCAGCTGGATGGCAAAGATGATGATTATGAAGCTTCCTTAACCACCCGGAGCGAGGCTAATTGGCAGTGATGGGTGTGTTAATTGCGGTAGACGAGGTGGTAGCAGGCGTGCCTGACCGTCAAACAGATTTGGAAGCAGGGAGGCAGGAAACGGAGTAACAAGAAGAGGCCTCTCTTTAACTTCTCCCCCTCTTTTTTCTATGGGTTTGATTGATGGATGCGAGCAGAGTGGTAATATATTCATTGAGGTAATTAGCCAGGAAAAGAGGCCGCTTGTTACACGGCGCTGGAAATGTAGGCCACCCTCTTCTCAGTATTCATCTCCCTCTCCAAAAATCCAGGGCGTTTCCGCTGAGACTTGGGCCTTGTCCCGCATTCGGCCATGATTGAAGAGGGAAGAAAGGCTACGTCGTGTATGTGTAATTTTAAGACGACGGGAGTTAAGGACATTTGTCTTGGAAAGAGCCGCCCCTGGTTTGTTTTAGACCTGCAGGAAGATAGATAGTGGAGGCAAATGTACGGGGGAACTGCTCTAAGCGACTTCAAATAATCACAAAAGACAGTAGTAGAGAGTAAAGAGGCATGACAAGTGCCAAGTGTTACCCAGGTCCCCCTCCACAAAAACGAGCTCCCTGTTGATAACAGCACAGCAGAAAGTCGACACGTCTTCTTCTGCACACTGAAATCCACCTGTTACGACTTCAGCATGGCCAATAAAAAATGTTTTAATTTCTACTGTACTTAGCAGGATTTGGCTTATTTGAACTCAATTCAGTATCACTTATTTATTGCATCTTTTTTTAAATGTGTTTCTTCATGGTTGAATTCTCTAACCGAAGCTTCTTTTGATCAAAGGTCAGCTAAAGGTACTGTAATGTAATAAAAGTTATTCACCGAGGGGTTCATACGCACAAACCACGAAAGAATCTTCTCACAACTTTAGATTTTTGAGTTGTTGCATGTTGGGATACGGATGCGCGGGGTTTGCTTTACTGGTGTGTAACTGAGTGTGTGTCTTCTGACTGACAGGTGACTTTGCGGTACTGCTGAAAGCGGGGATGTCAGTGAAGCAGGCCATCTTCTACAACCTGCTGTCTGCCCTCATGGCCTATGTGGGCATGATCATCGGCACGGCCGTGGGACAGTACACACACAACGTCACCAGCTGGATCTTTGCCGTCACCGCGGGCATGTTCCTGTATGTGGCGCTGGTGGATATGGTGAGTTGAAAATAGTCCTGCTTTACTTTCATTGACATTCTTCTATCTGCCTATTGTTGTGCATTGTCCCTTTCTGATCCTGATTCTGTCTCCCTACAGCTGCCAGAAATGCTCCACGGGGACAGCGAGGACCACAAGCGCTGCCAGCTGGGTCACTTTGTCCTGCAGAACCTCGGCATGCTGACCGGGTTCGGCATCATGCTGCTCATCGCCATCTTCGAAGACCGCATCGTTTTCAATTTTGGCTTTTAGTCTAAGAGCTAGTGGGGAGGGTAGCTGGGAAGTGAGAGCTGGGTGTATCAATATTGTTCTCCATGGCCTTAACATGCTTTGTTTGCGATGTAACGGCCCAGTGTTGCATGCAGTGTGGGTCTCGTTCACGGCCAGTGCCTCCATTCCAAACATGCAGCGGTAGCTTATGCATATCTCATGACTCTGCCAGTGATGTTTACACTCTGCTCCTCCATTACCTCTCCTCTGTCGGCTCCAATCTGTTTGCTCCCCGAGAGGAGAAAAAAAAAAAAAAAGGCCCAATGAAAGAAGACCGACCGGAGAAGGCCTCCTTCGCTCCAAACCAGTGACCTCCATCTAAAAATGAGCTGTTGGTGGCGCGGGAAAAGCGCGCACCCGCAGAGAGGCAGCTGTCACGGCCCAGCAGCCCATCGCCGATGCACCGTCACCTGTTGTTAGTGCTTTGTTGTCTCTCATCCACCCTGTGCTGTGTCCCATCATCCATGCCTCCTACATCTGCGGTGCGTGTTCCACCCGCCATCCATCATCAGCTTGTGATGTCATCACGCTGTGTGTCATACATCTCTCAAGCCCTGGCCACTGGAGCAGCGACAGTGACGGAGGTTAGCTTGCGTCTACACCTGGAAGAAAACTTTTTAGAGCTGCAATAATTAGACGACTAGGTGTTTAAAACTAAGTCATGCCTTTTTGATATTCGGTTGATCGTTTCAAGTCATTTTTAATGGACAAATGTCAGAAAATGCCGTTTGCCTCTTTAATATAGAGGTTTCTCAGTTTCATATACTTAAGTCACAATCTTTCTGTTTTGGATTGATAAAACAAGACGTTAACTCTGACTTTTAGACGCTGGGATAGATATTTTTTATAGTTTTCTGACATTTTATTGACCAAGCGATTAATCGATTAGCCTAGAAAATAAGATTGAAAATAATCATTTTTTGCAGCCCTTAACCCTTTGGCTTATGTTGCTTTATAGTCAAAATGTGTTGAGGCCTAAAAGCTACAGTGTCAAAAACGAAACGCGTTCCCCCGACTTTACGTGGCAGATCTTCCGAATGGCTCAGTGTTAGTTTTCCTAACTTTTTTTCCCATTTATGTTTTATTGTCAATTAGATTTTTTTGGGATCATTAAAATGTTTGTAGTTCATAGTGTTTGCTAACACAGCTGCCAATGCCTTTACAAACTAGCATTTAAGACTTTTGGTTAGAAAGTAGAATGTCTGACTTTTTGAAGGGTTTGACAATCTATAGTCAGAGATGTATCCTCGTTACATTTTTTATCTTTCTTTATAAGAATTGGCAGTTTCAAAATGTAAATTCTAATAAAAGCTAGCTCTTCCTCTCTTCACCTAAAGGTGTTGTAGTTAGCTAGATTTATTTAGGTTGCCTCTATGAGTTCCTAAAGGGTGCTTCGTTCAATCGGACCACCCGGCAGTGGACCTTTATTTACAGTAGGTAGGTTGAAATGTCACACCAATGCAGATGGTTTTTATGTACTGTAAACACATGAAGTCTTTATAACATCAGTAGTAAGAAAGCACATTTTTGTTGCTGCTAAATAATAGTTTTGAAGGTACAAGGAATCAATTCCTGACAATCTACAACAGACCAATCAAAAGAGGAACAATTTACCTTGTGTCAGCTTCCCAAACCATTGATACAGATAACATGTTTTTGTTATCAGCATTCCTCGCGTTTGTACCCCAGTGTGTATGTTATAGTCACTCAGATGACTGTGCCAAACCTGACCCGAGTGTGGTTTTTCAGTGGCTGGTGCTTGACACCCCTCCCCCTACATTCCATTGGCTGTCCCACAGCTAACATGCTAAGCTAGCTCGCCTAGCTTCAGTTGCTGGATCACACAGATTCTGTGTGTGTTTTCATTTATCCTGTCACTGTGTGACATCCATCATCGTATGTGTCAACTGGCTGTAAATCATTGTTGGTCACATCGAACCCGTGTTATCGATCCGACTGAACCATGCATGAAGCATGAGAGAAACGGTACAGACATTGTGTTGAGTGTAAATTTGTTTTCATTATTTTCTACTGCAAAGTTAAACTATTGACAACCTTTGTTACTTTTTAAATGAACTGTGTCTGATGTTCATTTGGAACTCTTTGGGGCGTAGTGTTATAGGCCTGAGATAATCTAATTTATCTACACTTCTGTTTACAGTAATTTTAATATTTCCAACTACTCTTACACCATGTTCTGCATTAAAATAAGATTATTTGAATTTTTTCAGTTTCCTACGATAAACATTTTTGTATTTTTTTAAAGACTAAGTGTACTTTTTATTTCCATTATTTCTCTACGAGGTCTTCAATTTCTTGTGTAATTAAATGGTACTGACAAGGGTCCATGACACTTAACACACTATGCCCCAAAGAAGTTTCTCCTGTACTCATCGAACAAAGAATTGTCTGTAAAAATGAAGGTCCATGATTTGTTCTCACTTTTGCTTTGTTGTATGTAGGCTATGTCTGTTCAGTAAGCTGGATATAAAATGCAAAGTGTGACATCCTTACTGTTCGCCTTGTCTGTGCATTCTCCACTGTACGAAAGAAAAATAAACCTTGAAAAGGTCTCTGACGCTTCTGGCATAATGTTACAGAGACAGCTGTTATGTAGCTGCAAAACCACGACAGCTTAACACATCTATCAGCATCTTTTCTGCCAGGCTCATTCTTTAATAAACATGCATGCTCAGGAAACTATGCATACATATATTGTCTAAGTTGTCTAAAACGAAGAACATCATGTTGAAATATTTGTTTTATAATGGCTGCATTACTGTTGTTTTGTATGTAAATATGCTAACATGCTAAATGCTAGCTTATCAAGATTATCTACAATCAACTGAACCATCGCAATACTTGGTTGCTGTGGCTCAGGAAGTAGATGGTAGGCCTCCAATCAGTAGTGATCCCCAACTAAAAACGGCATAAATCAAGGACAATGTTGTATCTTAACAAAAAACGGGTTTCATAGCAAGTACCACAGAATTGGTACGTTACTGTTTGTTGGCGAGCTAGAAGACAACACATACTCTTTTTTGTTATCTTGAACGGAGGCATTTGGTAAAGTTATTAATTAAAAATAACTGATTTTCTGCAGTGAGGATCAATTTAAAAGTATGTAAAAAAGGCCCAGTTGTAATTGATGTTTTGTTTAACATGGTTTTCCTATATAAAAAGAAAAGTCTTCCGTGCACCAAAATCGGTGACAAGCTGATGTTTCAGAACGGGAAGTGAAGTTAGCATCTTTGTCTTGATCATGCTGTTTGTGAGCTTGTTATCTTGTAACCGGACACATTGAATGACATTGTAATGGCTGTGAATTTTTTGGTAGAAATGTACTGAATGTTAAAAACAGCAATCTAGTGACAAACTTTGCACTCATAAGTCAGGATAGTTAAGGTGAGAAATATTATGGTACATAAATATTTTTAAAATATTTTTTATTGGAGTCGATCTTAAGGTTAACTTTGACACTACCTTTTTGTTAATACATTCTCGAACAACACAATAAAGATAGGAACTAACTGCTTTTGTTTGAGAACAGTACAAACTATACTTGCTGTGTAAAATAGACACTTTTCAATCTTATTTGATGAGCTGTCAGTGCATGTGTGTGAGACAAACTGAGCCTAGGAGTTGAGCTGGCAGAGCAGCGCTACGCCTCGTCGGATCCAGTGTTCAGCCGCCACGTTGGTGTTGAGCGTCATGGCGATGACGTAGTTGGTGGAGTGTCCGGTGGTGGACAGGGTGCCTCGCCGCTCGCTGGTCTTGTAGACGGGCAACACGTAGCACATCCTCTGGGGGATGTCCTGACGTTTGAGGGGCTTCAGCCACATCTGACGGAGAGAGACGATCGAGGAGACAGACGGGGGTCAAATGAGGTGACTTTAAAATGTAAGATGTGGCTGCCACATCTACTTCCATTCACAAGTTGAGCACTAAGTCACTGTCCTTTAGGGTCTGGATTACATTAAAAACTTTTGACTGGGGGTGTAATTAAACTGGCAAATGAAATGTTCTATGCTTCTGCTGACGAACAACACAATTAACAATCAGGATTATATAATGATGTAGTGAAGTACATGTACTAAAGTATTGTGATTAAGTTTAATTCTTGTAAATGTACTCTCTGACTACTACTTTGTAGAAGCCAATATTGTCGTTTTTTTCCTTCACTACATGTATCTGACAGCTTGAGTTACTTTACAGATTGAGCCAATACAAAATATAAATCAAATATTGAATAAATATTGATAGTGTAATTATGAGATACAATATTTAGCAGCAGTATACAAAGTAATTAAAGGGACCCTATTATTTTTCTTTGGGGTTTTCCCTTTGCTGTAGTGTGTTATATACAGTCGAGGAAATAAGTATTTGATCCCTTGCAGATTTTGTAAGTTTGCCCACTTTCAAAGAAATTAACAATATATACTTTTAATGGTAGGTTTATTTTAACAGTGAAAGTAAGAATATAAAAAAAAATCAGAGAGAAGACAAGAGGCACAAGGCTGGGAATGAATACAAGACCATCAGAAAGCAGCTTGGTGGGAACGAGACAACTGTTGTTGGTGCGATTATTCGGAAATAGAAGAAACACAACGTGACCATCAATCGCCCTCGGTCTGGGGCTCCACACAACATCTCCCCCTGCGGGGTATTGGTGATCATGAGAAAGGTGAGGGATCTGCCCAGAACTACACAGGAGGAACTTGTTAATGATCAGTCACCAAGAAAACTAGACACCATAATGGATCAAATCCTGCAGCGCCACAAGGCCCCCTTCCTCAAGAAGAACATGAACGAACCGTCTGAAATTTGACAATGAACATCTGAATAATTCAGGGAAGGCTTGGGAGAAGATGATGTGGTCAGATGAGACCAAAATCCTGATCTTTGGCATCAACTCGACCATCATGTTTGGAGGAAGAGAAATGCTTACCATAACCCCCAGAACACCATCCTCCACCGTCAAGGCATGAGGTGGAACAATTATGCTTTGGGGGTGATTTCTTCTGCTAGGAGGACAGGAACGACTTCCCTGCATCGAGGAGAGCGATGGACGAGGGCCATGCGTACTGTAACATCTTGCCACAATAGCCTCCTTCCCGCTCAGCCAGGACACATGAAAATGAATACATGGACGGGTTCAATCCAGCGACTACAATGAACATGACGGCGGCAACAAAGGAGTACTAAAGAAGACCAGGCACTTTAAGGTGATGAGGGGCCAAAAAAAAAAAAAAAAAAATAGCCAGTATCCAGAGCTTAATCCCATACAAAATCGTGGAAGGGAGGCTGAAGGCTTCGGGCAGAGGCCAAGCATCAGCCTGCAAAAGCCCTCAGGATTTGTGATGTGGACGCAAAAATTCCTTCCTGAGATGTTGCACGAAACCTGGACAACTAAAAGAAGCGGCGTCTGACCTGTCTGTCAACCAAGGGGTT